AGCCTCCCCAGCACTGGGATTACAGATGTGTGCCACCACGCCCAGACTCCATCACAGCCTCAGTGAACCATGGGGGCAGTGTTGGAAAGGCATGCAGGTCATTGGATCGAATCCTGGTCCCTCAGCTTGCCAAAACAGGCACTGAGTCTGCTGAACTACTTTGCCAGCCCATTGTTTTATTTTATTTTATTTATTTATTTACAAAGAATATTTTAATGACACCATGGGCCTCTTACTCTGTTAGGCTGGACAGACAACATCAGCTTTGCTCCTCTCTCCTCTTCTTTGTCCACCCCAGTGCCCTTGCCTCTCCATGTATTCTGTCATCCAGGTTCTCCAGTTGTAAGAAACATGTACTTCTCTGCAGCCAGGGACCCCTGCCTAAGACCAGGCCCTCGTCCTTGTTTTGTAACCAGGTTCCACTTGCAGAACTGTCTTGGTCCTTCTGTCACACTGCTGATGGGGCACTTCTAGTTTGGGGCCCTGACAGGACCACTGCAATAGGCACTTGATCTTAGCCAAAAGGCGGAGAAGCGATAGGACCACTGCAATAGGTTCAGGGCTTTCCATAGTTGTGGGGAAGAAGCCTCCAGCTTGAGACCAGCCCATGAGGGCAGCGCTCTGGGCTGTGACTCTGGTCCATCCAGCACCCAGATGAACAGATTAAGAGCAGCTTTAGAACCTGTTACTTCTGGAGGGGGGAACATCCAAGGAGTGGACAGTGGGGAAAAGTGGAACACTTAGAAGTATATCCTTTATACCTGCTTTGGCTTTCTCTATGCAAATGCTCAAAGTTGTGATCCTTAAAAATAGCCTTTACACTTCATGTAGCGCTTTTCATCAGAGAATCTCACTGAAGGAGCTCAAAATAGTCTCCGCACGGACGTGCTCATCAGGCTCCCCTTTCCCAGAAATTCCTAACCACATGCGAAGAGCAGAGAGCCAGCCTCCATCCCTTCATGGGGGCTTTTATTCCACCTCCGTACTCTCTGCTGGCCCTGTGAAATATAAAGCAGGAAAACCCCAAATGCAACACCACTGTTCATGAACACATACACAAACATGCGCATGTGCGTGCATGCGCGTGTGTGTGTGTGTGTGTGTGTGTGTGTGTGTGAGGGGGCAAGAAGCAGTGAAAACAATATTTAATAACGGTTCTCTCTACTTTAAGGAGGCAAAATGGACAGATGAAATGGAATAATTGCTCTATTTATTGTCTGAGTAATATCAAAAGGCAAACGCATTTTAACATAGACTATCATGAATTGAGTTTGGTGAAAGTGTACAGATGGAACAAAACACTAAAGTATTTTGGTATGGCACTGTGCACGTGAAGACACTAAATAAGCACATCATAAATTCTGCATTTATGTACACACAAGTTTTAGATGCTGCCTTTCTCAGATTCAATGATATACAAGGGAAAATATTTTGAATACTGTATTGTCCATAGAAGGGACTTGTATGTTTATTGTGGGTGTAGTTATATATGTTTACCAAAACTCATAGAGCTGTACATTTAACAAAACAAGTGAGCTTGACTCTATGTAAAGTGCACCCCAAAAATAAATAGGAAAACAGTTATTATCAGAAGATCTTTGGTTGTCCCCCTGTGCTGCCTACCTCTGATGAGACTCACTGTGATGCCGTCACGCACTGCATATTTACACTAACACAGTCTATTTGACAGTGCTGTCAAGATCAGAACATGCAGGGGCTGGCAAGATGGCTCAGTGGTCTAAAGCACCTACTTGGAACAAGCTTGGCAAAGCACAGGGACCACGGTTCAATCCCCCAGCACCACATGCCAGCCAGCCCCGCCCCCTGGTGGGCTGAGCTGGCCACACACACACACACACACACACACACACACACACACTGTAATAAATAAATAAATGAAATATTAAAAAAAAAAGATCAGAACATGCAGCAGCCCCACCTGCCCGTGGCGCCACTTTGCTATCCTGCACAGGCTCAGTGGCCGATGCTGTGCACATCCACTTAGCCGTGCTCTGAATAGCTACCTTCTGCAAATGAACTGTCCTTATCCAGACAAAAAGGTAAGATAAGATAAGCAACAAGTTGCTATAAATATATAATCATTATATACTGCAATCAGGCACTAATAATTTTTTTTGGTACTAGGAATCAAACTCAGGACCTTGTGCTGGCCAGGCAGGCACTGTGACACAGAGCTATCTCCCTAGTGTGCTAATAATTTTTCATGGAAGAAAACTGAAAAGAAAAGCAGAATCAGTTAGATGGCCATGCCTTATTCAGCTCCTTTTTCTCCTTGCCGAGCAAGGTTCATCCATGGCAGCCCCTTAAAAGCAGAATGCCACCTCCATACCAGGATGTCTTTGTGAGAATAACCTAATTCAAGAAAACTGGAAGGACGAGAGCAGCAGTACAAATTGATACTGTTGGATGGCTTGCGGCTTAGGCTACTTGGAAATCCTGTCCCTAGGAGGGAGGAAAGATGGAGCAGTAGACTGCATGGGCTCCCTACAAGGACATGATTCAGGTAAGTCCACTGGCTTTCAAAAGTTCACCCTACTGCCCAGATGCAGCAGTGCAGGGAGTGGACACTGACACCTATCAAGAGCTGCTGCTGGCCTAGGACTTCTGAAGGCTGTAGATTCTTAGGAGGCAGCAGGAACTGGGGATGAGGGTGGGTGGGTGGGTCCCAAGGGAAGGGCATGGTATGTAAGGGAAAGGGGAGAGTTTAAGAAAAGGACATGGGACACAGGATCATGGGAACATGGTCTCTGGGGAGACACAAGTGAAAGGGGTTGAGCACAGGTTCCTGGGGAGGAGTGCCCAATCTATAAAGGTTTAGGCAGCATGGATTAGGGGGAGTGGAAGTACACAGCTGATTCTGCAGAAGTTACAGGAGTCAGAGCATCCAGGATCATGATGCACATTAGGGTCTTGCAGAGATTCCTGGGAATGATGCAAAGTAGGAGAGGGCCCTGGGACCAGGGAAAGGGGGAGAGATACCAAGAAAGGGTGTCGCATCAGGGAATGGCAGGGTCTCAGGAAGAGTGCAAGATATTGGGAGCAGGCTTGGGATCCAGAGAAGACCTGGGGATCCCGGTTCCCAAGATCCAGGAGAGGGATGGAGAGTGCAAGGGAAGAGCATAGAGTACAGGAAGGAGTGTGAGAACCTGGGGCTGAAGGGAGTAAGAAGCTGGGCACAGGAAGAGTGGGACAGGGGCTCGGAATCTGGGAGGAGCAGTGAGTCTAGGGAAGAAGGGAAGGGTCTCCAGAAGAAGTGGGGTGGGTTGTCCCCAATTAGGCATGAGCCACGTGCAAGGGACAACCTGGGAGAGGGGTGCAAGGTGCAGAGAAGGAATGCAGGGTACACAGGAGCATGAGGTCCTCAGAAGAAACTGGATTCCAGAGGCAGAGCATCAGGTCCTGGGTTTGGAGAATGGGTGGAACGCGTGGGGGCTGTCTTTGTGTTCTACCTGCATCTGACATAGTCGTTGTCCTCAGGGCACTGCCGGGTTCACATAAAGTATGAGCAGGATGGCCAAAAGAGACCGAGCCATGAAGATGGTCATTGTCACCTGGGAAATTGGCGCCTACATGGTTCCATGCATGGTCCCACCAAAGGGGCATTCTGGGGACCTGGAGGAGGAATAGTGTGGTGCGGCAGCCACCTGTACTTGTGGAGCTGAGCTCAGTTAAGGAGAAATCTCTGGCTGCCAGGATTCCAGGCAGCACCTATACACTGCCTGGAGCATCTCAAACCAAGGCTGAAGGAGGCAGGAGTTCTGCTGCTTCTCCGCTAGGTTACAGCCAGGTGGCTCTGCTCTTGTTCAGTTGGAATCAAAGGAGCTTAGGATTGACAAAGAACAGTCAGCTGTTATCAAGGCACTTCCAGAGCAGAGTAGGGATCTGATTGAAGACCCAAGAATGAGGAGAGGTGGTAGGTCCCTGTCCTCCCCCAACATTTACCCAGGATGTCTCTTACTCTTCTCCCAGGTGCCTGAGAAAAACATGTACTTCTTAGTGAGCTCCCTTCTCCGCTACACTACTCTCATGCCTGGTGTTATGGACAAGCATAGTCTGCATGTAGCAATGGGTTCCATGCTGTACTGCATATTTAGACAGAGGAGCCAAAAGTAGCAGGAACTTCCACCCTCTGGATCCAGTGCTGTGCTTTCTTAATGACTTCCTGAGCACACCTAGCCCCTGCTGCGGTGACACCCTCATCCTGCTCTGGCTCCTTTTGCCCTGACTTCTCCATCTCCTTGGGGGGAAGTGGTGGTGGTGCAAAGTAGCAGAGGTGAAGCTAAGTCCCCATCTGACTTCTTTCATCTCACCTGTCCTGCAACAATGCTCTCAGCCCAGCAGTGTCCAACACTCCTGGGGTGGTTTGGGAAGCTGTGTCTCAGCCCTGCTGAGCCCTAGGGAGCCAGCATCTGCTTGTTACCAAGGGCCCAGGGCAAACTGTGCAAGGTTTGTACCTCTGCCTCAGGGAGTCTGTAGCTCACTGAATTTAGGGCGCTGCCTTTAGAAGTCAGGTGCAGTCAGGCCGGGTTCTCTGAGTGAAAACTTTTTACAAGCTCCCACTACTGAGATCACAACACACATAAAGCACTCTTTTCAGTTCCTTGTGGGTCTGGTTTCCTTTAGTCCTAAGAAGAAATCTTTTCATCATTCAATGACAAAGGCCATCAAGGAAAGTTGTATTTTCTCCCACTGAAAGCTCATTCTTTAGTGTCTCTTGATTTCTAGGTATTTTCCCAAGTGGAGGCAGGCAAACAAATAAATTGTGATTTCTCCACTCTCCACGCCACTCCTGCAGTCTAGCTGATTCTAGTGGGAGCGAGAAGTGACATTATACATATGAGAGTGTCAGAAATCAAAACTGCCAGATAGGAATGTATGTGCTGCATGCAGCAAATCACCTTCCTCCCCTTCCTCTCCCCATGTGTGGCCACCACTCTTACAAGGCACTGCTACAGGAAAGGGCAAGGTCGCATTCACTTTGAGGAATGTTGTGTGCAACTCCTAAATGATAAATGTGACTATCTCAAAATGTTTATATCAGTTAAAGCAGGGAGTGTTTGCCCTCTGTCTCTCACGCCAGATTTCATCTTATCCAATCTCTTTTTTCTGAGTTTAGTAACCTCGACTTTATACATTCAATCCATTCCAACTGTGGTAGCAACGTGCCATCCCCAGTACTAGGTTAGCTCAGTGATAGAATCCAAGGGCTCAAATGTTAAGCACCTACAGAACTGTGTACAGGATTCCGTGTGCATGTGTGTGTAGGGGGAAACAACAATAGGCAAGACAGAATCTTGGGATAGAGGAAGAAAGTCTACTGAGGCTCCCAGAGTCGCATGAAGTAGTCAGACAAGAGGTTAAAGGGAGGAAATGTCTTTCAATAGTAGAATGAGAGAATACTTGGAGGAGTAGGGAAGGTCACTGCAAGTGGAGTGTGCCAGGAGGTCATCATTGTGAACTTGACTGGATTAGAAGACTGTTGAGATCATTGCACCCTTCAGACAATTGCTCCGCCAATGTTCATAGGGAATGTACTGTTAGGAGGTAGGACACAGTTGGAGATGGGTCACTGAGCTGTGTCATTGGAGGTCACATCTCTTGCTGACGCTGTTCTCTTTCCATTTCTCAGATGCCTGGATTTGAGTTACTGTACAATGTCAGTTAACCATGGCTGAAAACTTTGAAACTGTGAGCCAAATAAACCACTTCCTACTTTTAAGTTGTGTATGTCTAGCATACTGGTCACGGTGGTGGAAAGAAAATACATGGAGAAAACCTTAAAGTGCAGACCGAACAGTGTGAAGATGGTCCTATTTGAGAAGTCCTAGTAGGGCCAGTCTGTGGACAGAACATAACATGCATGGGCACAGCGTGGGCAAAGGGATTTTGACCACAGATGTCAGAAGGGGCCAGGCGGGGGCTAAAATGAATGAAGCTACTGCACTGAGGAAGAAGTATTAAGCCCGAATGGGAACCACATGTTATCGGTGTTTTCAACTTTTTGATAGCTTAAGCTATGAATGCATATTTCGGTGTGATATCTCCTGAACTTTAAGTGCTGGTGACCACTGCGAAATGATGACAGCATCTAATCTTTCCCTCTCCCAGGGCTATGCTCCTTCTTTGTTTCCATACACAGGACTTCCTCTGCTGTTCCTCATCCTCTGCACTCCCAGGACTATGCACTGTCCAGCAGATGTGGTATCTGAGCCTAACTGTTGATACATAGGGATGAGTGAAAGGAGAATCTGGGGAGAGCGACCCCTTCACCTTCTCCATCTTGGAGTTCTGGAAATGTCGATGCCATCTTTATGCCTGGGGAAGAGAGAACGCAGCATGGTTGGAACAACCAAGGTCCAGTGCTCTCCAGATTGGCAAGGGATAAGCTATTCACATTTGCTTTGTATTTTTCTCTCCCATTCATAAATACAACTGATACAATCAAAGCAAGCAATTTATTTAACAGTTTTATGTGCATATATTTTACATGCCAATGCCTTTATTTTCAATTCACTCAATTGAGTAATTCAGTGCCCTTATCTTTAAGTATAATGGCTATTGCCAATTTTTAGTAGACGTCCTTTATCAGATTGAGGAGTTTGTTTCTACTCGTACTTTGTTGGTTTATTTTTTAGTCATAAAATGGCATGTTAGTCAGACATTGTGGGGCAAATCTGTAGTCCCGGCATTGTGGGAAGTTGAGGTAGGAAGACAGCAATTTTGAATCCAGCCTGGGTAATTTAGAAAACTAGCAAGACTGTCTCAAAACAAACAAAACAAAAAACCATTGGGGATGTAACTTAGTGCAGAGGCCCTGGTTTCAATCCTCAGTAAAACAAACAAATAAATAAATAATGTTTTATTTCACCAAACACTTTTTCTGTGTCTGCCAAGATGATAATATGATTTTGTCTTTTAGTCTATTAATACAATACACTACATTGATCTTCAGCTTTTAAAACAATCTTGCACTCATTCCTAGGATAAATTCTACTTGGCCATGGTATATAATCCTTTGCTTGATGTTGGATTCGGTTGGTTAGTATCTATATTCATGAAGGATATTGGTGTGTAGTGATGCATCGATCTAGTTTTGGTACATAAAAGGGGCCTTGTAGAGCTCTGGTCACATATCCAGGTTCCCAAGTGTACATAGTAACTTTCCAAAGCCTGTGTTACTCTGTGTGTCTCCCTCCTTTGCCTCTTTGTTCCTAGGCTTTCTACTTGAGGTTGGAATAAGTTGGCAGGTGGGTAAGTTAAACTACCACAATATTCTCTTACCAAATTTTAGCTTCTTCATTCTTCATTGTTGTAGTTTTACTAATGAGGTCTCTTTCTGGAGATAGGCCATAAATTCTAATGCTCCTCTGAAGGAGCCCCGGAAGATTTGGTCATGGATACCTGCAATGTTCCTTTCAGCAGATACATTTTTATTCTGGCTGACAGTCTAATGCCTAAGTGCCTATATGTGACCTACGATCCCTCTCACAACAAAATTTAGTTTTGTTGGCAAGTGCTCTTGTAGCTTGCATTCCATGGGGTCACATTATGGCTGAGAGATGAATACTGTGGCCCACCTACACGGTCCATGAGGGGCTCTATCTGTAAGTTACAGAAGGAAGTGGTCACCAGGAAGTGGCTCTGTAAGGCAGATACCTGGATTGATCACATTGAGGAACTGTGAAGAGGAGAACAACTGGAAGCTGTTTCAAAGATAATTAAGTCCTCTTTCTTTTATACGAAAGTTGATCAATACTGAGAATAAATACTAAGACAAAATAAAATTATAGGATTCAATCCAGCTATCCCCCTTCTGGGAATTTTCCCCAAAGAACTGAAAACATCATATCATAGTGATATATGCATCAATGTTTATAGCAGCACAATTTATGATAGCCAAATCTTGGAAACAACCAAAATGCCTGTCACCTGAGGAATGGATGAAAAAGATGTGGAGTTTTTATACAATGGAGTATTACTCAGCTATAAAGAAAAATAATCTCGAAGCCTTCATAGGAAAGTGGATGCAACTTGAAGCTATACTCATACGAGAAATAAACGAGACCCACATGTGTAAATATTTTATTGTCTCCCTAGTGTAAGAACTCAAAAGAAGAAATAAAAATTGAAAGGTATAACATCGTTAAATGGAAAGAGAGAACTTAAGAATTAAAAAACATAGAGAGAGAAAGGAAAGAAGTTAGGGAATATGGCAGGGGCAAAACCATACATTTATATAAACAAGATGGTTGAGGCAATGGTCCTTAGAATTTCTATCAGGTTTTTGAAAATCGCAGTTAATGGGTAGAGCTCTCCTCCTGACTAACTCTATATGATGATATCTGTGAACTAAGCAACTTCAGTGAGGACAACAACGTGTAATACTAAAACCACACTAGAAATACCTGTCACTTTGGTCTTCTAAATGTGTACTGCTTCTAATGTCATATCAAATATTGCTAGACTCTCTCTAAAGTAAATGTTTGTGAAAAAAAGGTAATAAAAGAAAATTAGACACAAGGGAAAAAAGGTCATAGTATTGTCCTGCTACAATGTTGTATATGGTTCACTTTCTAAATTTCTGTGTAAAAATATGTAATTGTTTTATAAAATTCTATAGGGATTTAAATCTTAGCATATCCATGGTTGTTGGAAAATAGCAGCTCCATTTTATGTCTAAGATGTTTGATATTCAGACAGACAGTGATGATAAGCCCAGCTGCCTCTGTTACAGGGTAATAATATCATTAAGCTTCTCTTCTGGATGTTTAACAACTAAAGTTTGCACACCAAAAATCAGAGAGATAGATGAGCTAAAAGGATAGCCAATATTTTGGCCTAGTCCTCCCAGGTCAGTGAGGACTCAGGACATAAGAGAACCTCTGCTGTGACATCTTGTAACTAAGTGGTGTCCCAATTTTTCTGATCAAGGAGATTATGGGGCCACAGAAGAAAGTGATCAACGATATATAGTGTGCCTAAGGAGTCACCTAGAGAGAAAACATTCTCTCAGGCTTTCACAGAGAGCAAATTGATCAAGCAACGGTCATGACTCGTCCAGATGGCTGACACTGTCAAAAGATCTACAAACTGCTGTACATGGTTCTAGGGTAAATCCTGAGGGGATTTGACTGACCTCGTCAGATACAAAAGCCACATTTTTAGTTATATAGATCTTGCTTTAACTTGGTCATAGCCATCCAGCAGAAAAGTATAACCACAAGGTATAAAAAGTAAAGCTATATTAATATGCTGAGCTGTAAAAGGCTCAAGTCAACAACTTCGGACATTTCCCACTTGTGCTGAATACTGGTGACTATTGTGGACTATTGGACTATGTTGAGTTATTTTGCTGAATTCAAGTACCTACAATCTTTAGACTAGTTTCAAGTATAAAAAGAAGGAAAAAAAAGTGCTTCAAAGACTTCTCCAAATACAGCTTCTCTAACTGCAGTGGAACATCCATCTCTGACAAAACAAAACAAAAAAGGGTGATATGTTGGGTGCCACAAAGCTAGGAAATTGGTCAAATATGTGTAGGTGGGACCTGTCCTGGTGCCTAAAACAAACAAGCTACCTCACTCCTGAGATGAACATCCTGTCTTGTTAAAGTTAGCTATCAGTTGGTAGGCAACCTAGTGTCATGAGTTTTAACTTCACAAAAGTGTAAATAAAGGACTGTTTTGTTGTGAAAAAAGATAGATACACAGAAGATAGGATAGATACACAGCTACTATCTCAGTAGACCCAGGTTCACTGAGAAGAAAGATTCACAGTATATTATTTATTTATATTTTTATCTTTTTAAAAATAATTTTTATTCATTTTAAAGAGAAAAAAGAATAACAATGAAACAGTTTCAAAACAGGTTAGTAGGACATTTACAATAATTAATACATTACATATTGTTGTCTTCCTAGTAGTTATTCAGAGGACAAGATGCAGACATCATATCTTCTCTAAATAATATTAGTACAAACTTTTATTCTCAGTGAACTAAGAGAAAGTAGCTGTATATCTATCTTAAATCTCTTGTATATATATATTTTTTTTTCCTTCCCCTTTAAAAAAATTTTATTCATTTTAATGAGAAAAAAAGAATAGTGATGAAACAGTTTCAATATGGGTTAGTATGATGCTTATAATAATTAATACATTGCATATTACTGTCTTCATAGTAGTAATTCAGAGGACAAGATGCAGAAATATCTTGTCTAAACAATATTAACACAAACTTTTATTCTCAGTGAACTAAGAGAAAGTAGCTGTATATTTATCCTAACACACACACACACACACACACACACACACACACATATTTCCTTCCCCCTTTTTTTCACAACAACACTGTCATTTATTTATTTATTTTTTTTAGTGGAACCAGGGATTGAACTCAGGCCCTTGCACTTGCCAGGCAAGCGCTTATTCCACTGAGCCATCTCCCGGGCCCCCCCCCCATAACTGTCATTTATTTATACTTCTGTGAGGTTAGTAACACATGATACTAGACTGCCTAGCAACTGATAGCAAACCTTAACCAGACAGAATGAAAAAGGGTGATATGTTGAAGCCAAGAAGCTAGGAAATCGATCAAATATATGAAGGTGGGATTTGGCCCAGTGCCTAAAGCAAGCAAGCTACCTCACTCCTGAGATAAACATCCTGTCTGGTTAAGGTTTGCACTAACATTATTTAGAGAAGATATCATGTCTGCATCTTGTCCTCTGAATAACTACTAGGAAGACAACAATATGTAATGTATTAATTATTGTAACTGTCCTACTAGCCTGTTTTGAAACTGTTTCACTGCTATTTTATCTTTTTTTCTTATTAAAATGAATAAAAATAAAAAATAAAAGTATAAGAATTTGCTCCACTAATTAAGCATTCCTTTGTTTTTAGTTTGTTTTACTTTTTAGATCCCAAAGTTCCAAAAAATGATTAACCATTTTTTTTCAAACTTATTGCTTTATTAGAGGGATAGAGAAGCAGAGAAATGAAGTTACACTTATTTAACAAAGATAAATCTTTAAAATGTTGAATAAATGAGTGAGAAGAATATTTGCAACTAATTATTAATATATATTAACTTGTGTTCATTAAAATATAATTTAGGGAGACAGAAATATGTTAAAAGAGTAAAATTAAGAAGAAATGGTAAAAATAAGTGCAGGGACCAGGGTTCCATCCCATCCTGCATGCTGCACTGGCCCTGCCCCTGCGCAGCTGGCGACCAAATCCAGGTGTGGTGGCGCTCACCTGTAATCCCAGCACTGGTGAGGCTGAAAACAGGAGGATCACTATGAGTCCAAGCTATGTAGTGAGACCCTGTACCAAATACATAAAAATGGTAAAAATAAAAATAAAATTAAAAATGGTAATTACTTCTGAGTGAGTGATCTTTTATTTGGCACTAGATTTGGCTGGTAATGGTGGGTAACGGTAGTATTAGTAGTGGTATTGTGATATTCTAGCTAGTGTTGGTGAGTTCAAGGGTGCTTTTCATTTCCCTGTGTTTCATAGTTTACACATATCCTTTTGAATATCAACTATTACATAGTATCCATGTAAAGAACATCAGATCTGACAGACAGGAAGCTTGAAGATTTAATACATGTGTACACATCATATAACAAACTCCAATTCCAAAGCATACCTAAAGCCAGGAAGAAAAGAGCTGAATAGAGTGATGATATTAAAGTAGTTTAGAAGATAGAATTAAACATTTGTGTTCACTAAACCAAGTTGTGAAAGATGGAGATAGAACTAGGCAGACTGGATATATAAACAAGGTTTTAAATTTAGAAAAGAGTTTGTGTGCAATGTGCATATGTAATGCCACAATGCTGACCTTGGCATAGGTAAGGCGATCTGCAGAATGTGGTCAGCTCAGGCAGCAAAACCAGGAAGATCTAACAGACTGAGGTAAGGGAAATACCCAGGTCCTTAGGGTCCATGCTGGGAGAAGTGTCTCGGGTCAGGAATGAGCAATGTGGATTCCCACCGAGAACAGGAAGAAACACATTATATAAAGGGAAAATGTAGGTTGTGGTTGATAAAGAGGACAAATATAGTGGTTGAATAGGATTATCAAGCACGAAACCTGAGAAGTGTGAAATGATTTCAGAACAGTAAAGAGGGGCTGAGGAGATGGCTCAGCAGTCTAAGCACCTGCCTGGCAAGTGCAAAGACCCAGGTTCAATCTCCGGTACCACATGCCATGCTGGCTCTGTGCCAAACTGGCCACTGAAACCAGGCATGGTGGCACATACTTATATTCCCAGTGCTGGGAAGGATGACACGGGAGGATCACTATCAGTCTGAGCTATGTAGCGAGACCCTGTACCAAATAAATATCAGTAAAGAAAGGCTGTGGATTGAATCTTCTGGCATACTGTCACCTCCAATCAGAGTTTATTCAAGATTTGGGCACAGCTGAGCCTTGGGCGAGATCTCACAGACTCTTTCTGATGGGACTGGCATTGGGGACAAAGTTTGTGGGTCCAGACAGTGCTTGGAGAAGGGGACCAGGAGACTTCGCTCAATAGCAATTTCCAGAACTCATTCACATCTGTCCCTGAGTGGCCCAGACGTGCCCTTGCCCTTCCCTGCTTCAAGCGTCAGGCTCTTTCTACGCCTGTCATTCATACTGATCTCTGCCTGCCTTCTTCCTCTTCTGCTCCTCTCCCCTCAGCTCACATTAAATAGGTGAAGAGATAAGAGGGATCCATGGGGGTACAGTAAGTGTTTAGAAATATTCCTAATTTTTGTCACATGTGAAGTCCTGTAGCACAAGACTGTGTGAAAGGGGTATGACGGATGTTATCAGTCAGAGGAAGCCCCAAAAGCCCAAGATGTGATGCTAAAGACAGGAACTATGTATTTCTCAAGGTGGAAGTTGTCATAAGATGCACTCAAGTCAAACCTCAGTCTCCAGGGAAAACAAACAACACAAGCCGGTGTCTGGTGCACTGATGCTCAGTAATCTAAATGGCTAAAGAAACTTATAAAGCCACAAGAGCTACCTAGTGGAGTAGAGGCATAAACTGTTCTTGTTCTTAAATTTGTTCATACTGCAACTGATTCAAATATGTTTAAGAAAGCTTGTAAACATATATGCTTCACAACAGCAGAAATAACTATTGGTTCTTAAATGTATTGTACTCTTATAAATACAAATGAAAACATTTTATGAACTCATTTAATTGTTTTTTGTTTCTGTGTAGGGTCTTACTATGCAGCTTGGACTTGTAGTGATCCTCCTGTTTTCTGCCTCCCTAGTGCTGGGATTGCAGTCATGCGTCAACATGCTCAGACTCCATGACGGGCTCAGCACAGCCAGGGGTGGGGCCAGCGCGGCATGGGGTGCCAGGGATAGAACCCTGGCCCCTGAGCTTACCTAAGCAGGCTCTTAGCCCGCTGACCTATCTTGCCAGTCCTAAAACTCATTTTATTTATTTATTTATATTTTAAAAATTAATTTTATTTAGAAAGACATAGTAATGAGACAGTTTCAAAACAGGTTAGTAGGACAGTTACAATAATTAATATGTTACATACTGTCTTTGTAGTAGTTATTCAGAGTACAAGATGCAGACATGAGAAACTCATTTAATTTAGAATTGAAAAAATCCCAAAATTTTAGCAGTCACAAGCAAATGGTAAAAATATTAACTATGTCATAAAGATATTTATGAGGAAATTTTCTTTTATGGACTTTATTATTTTTGGAAATTAATTAATTTAGTTTTTGGTATTGAGAATTGAACGCAGGACCTTGTGCTTGTCAGGCAGCTGCGGCGCTGCTAATCTAAATCTCTAGCTCTTCAATTGACTTTAATAATATGGTTTTTCTCTGCCCAACTTCATTTGCAGGTCTACATCAATCCTTGAGTCAGCGAGAACCCCTAGCCTCGAGTTTAGAAGATTCTTACTTTCCAGAAGTCCCCTCAAAGAAGTCTGCAGATAAATTAAATTTGAAGAATTAGATCAGGGCAATGTTCCTCTTGTTTAGATTCTTGAACACTATGTAGATTCTGAAACTGCTATGTCACTAAAAAGACAACCGCATGAAAGGCGAAGTCCCCAGAGGCTACTTCCCATCAGTTTCATCACAAGCATTGCAGAAGATTGCTATTATGCTCACGCGGTGCCTGCCTTTTCCCAGACTGCCACCATGCTGTGGCTGCACTGCCCGGCCCTCCATAGCCCGGGGAGAAAGATGCATGGTACTTCTCTCTCTCTCGTGCCACGGTGCTGTTTCTCTATCCCTGATCTACTCTCCTCAAGCAGCGGCTTCTGTGATATTCCTACAATGGCCTACAGATGACGAGTTGTTACCAAGAACTCTACAGAGACAGGGGAACACAGTTTCTATTTGCCACATTAAGAGTAGAATTTATTTATAATTTAATTTATTTTATTTTGAATATAAAAATGAAAGCAAAAAGAAATAGTAGAAACAAAGACAGAAACAGGGTAACATACAACAACATATATGTTACAGATTTTCAAAACAGCAATAGCTAGTTAACAATGGTTGTTCTATTATCTATTTTTGTCATGAAATTTGTTGTTTAGATTAACAGATGTAGTTATATACGATTGGACAAATAATTGAATATTACTGCTGCTTTAAAGAAGTCTTAATTTTTGTCTTTGTTTTACTTTTAAAAATTATTTTAATGAGTATATAATAATAACTGATAAGACATTAGAAATGGTACACATTAAGAAGACCAAGATGAGAGGTATTAAGTATGGTTTTTGTATTACACATTATTCTTGATTAGATCACAGATAGCAGCATACAGAGTAAGTCAAGGTGAAAATTCTACACATTGACTGCTATTTTCAAAAAACTGATAGACATTATTAGTACAATCATCTCAACCATCCTGTATATACTTGCACGTTGTTCCCCCTGCCTTTTTTCCTTTCTCTCATGTTCATTGTTTAATCCTTAAGTTCAGTTTCTTTCCGTTTTACTATATTATTACACTTTTCAGCTTTTATTTTTTTCTTTCAGGCTCTTAAACTAGGGAGCCAATATGATGTTTACACATGTGGGTCTGATTTATTTCACTTATGAGTACAGCCTCTAGTTGTGTCCACTTACCCATGAAGGCTTCAAGTTTGTCTTTCTTTATGGCTTAGTTACACTCCATAGTATAAAGATACCACATCTTTTAAATCCATTCTTCAGAGGTGTAGAATTTAACTTTGCAAGTAGAATAAACCTTGCAATCTATTGATGAAGTTCTCTATTTAGGAGGAAATATTTATGATTAACCTTGGAAACAACCCAAATGCCCGTCAGCCGAGGAATGGACATAAAAGATGTGGTATTTTTACAATGGAGTATTACTCAGCTATAAAAAATATAAACTTGAGGCTTTTGTAGGTAAATGGATGCAACTAGAGGTTATACTCCTAAGTGAAATAATCAGACCTGCATGTACAAACATCATATTGCCTCCTTAGTATAAGAACCTGAAAGAGTAAATAAAATCTGAAAGGCACAAAAGATACCGTGAAAGGGAAAGAATCTGTTCAATGGGAGGGAGAAACTGGGATGAGGAAAAGGACAAAAGAAAAAAGGGAAAAAGATATAATGATGTGTATATATAATATAGCTTGGATAATTGTACTGCTGACTTCTGTAGACATATTGAAAGGAGCAATTAATGCTTCCATTTTTTCTCTTTCTTTTTTCCACAGTTTTGCATATTAATATCTAGTAATCTGAACAATTAATTTGAAGATAATATTATGTAATACAATAGTCATTGTCAAATTCCTATTATTTTGCTTAGTGAAATTCTTTGTTTCTATGTTGCTTTCTTTTTCTTTTACCATTTTGTATTCTCTTTAAACAATTTTAAAAAACTAGCATATATATTGGCTTATTTTATAATCACTAATTTTTTTATAATCACTAAATTAAAGCAACAAATAATTAGTGAATCATTGAAGGAATTATGGTGAAAACAAACATACACCAGTAAAACAGGCAGGCATGACAAGCTACAAAGAGACAAGAGAGTGTCTTAAAGGCATATTGCCAAGTGAAAGAAGTCAGTGTGACAAGTTAAATACTATATGGTATAAATGTACTTATATGACATTCCTGGAAAGAAACAATTATAGAAATGGAAAATGTATTAGTGGCTACCAAGGGATGTATAGGACACAGGATAAGGAATGTCTAAAAGGTTACTAAAAGCTGCTCTCATGTATGTCTGGGCATGCTGTGGCAGCATGACCTTGAGCATTATATCTGGGCTCCGGTCCTTTAATCTCTGGCACTGTCCTCTGCTCTGCTTCCTAGCTGCCATTAACTGAGCAGCCTTGCTTTTCCAAGACCTTCCTCCTTTCTCTTTCTGCTCTTTCTCTAGACTCAATACATGAGCCAACTAACTCTTTGCACCCTTCAGTTGTGAATGTCAGGTATCACATTTAGCAGTGGCGAAGTGTTCTATTACAGTAGCCTTAATGACCTCAAACAATGGCATTATTCACTTAACAAAATAAATGCAAATTTTCAACACATGGAGTGAGCTTTGATTTATGTAATAAATAAGTTGTGGGTGGGCCGGGGAGATAGCTCAATAGAATAAGCGCTTGCCTGGCAAGCACAGGGTCCTGAGTTCAATCCCTGGTACTGGAAAAAAAAGATGTGGGCAACCACAACACAGAATATAGAATGTCACCAAAGAGAAAAAAACCTAAATATATCACACGTCTATTCACAATGTCAGAGAAACATATGGAATGAGATTATTGACCTCAATAGTGAGGAAAATGACTGACGTATGTGGACTCCAGATCAATGATACAGCAAATAAACACTGAACTCTAACTGGAAAAGGGTTTTCCGGTGATGGTAGAGGAGTGCGTTCAACAAAGTGAATCTGCTGTTCTTGAGTACTGAAAGAGGACAATTAATTAATTGGAAACTGAAAGGCAGGCCAGGTCCCAGATTCTCAGTGATGGACTGGGAGGCCATAGATAAGCCAGAGAAGGTGGCCAGAAGAATCTTTGTAGAAACAATTAACAGCTGAAGACATCGGCATAAGGTCATGTTCAACTAACTGGATATATAAACAGAAGTTTACATATATAAATGGTTATAGACCTGTGCCTGTGCACATGTTGTTTACACATGTTTACTCATTGTGGAATCAGCAGGGAAAGCTGATGATAGCTGACAGTGCTCCAGTTGCAACGAGCACCGGTGCTATCCAGAAGTAGAATGCTAAAACCTTTCTTAATTGAAGAAATGTGTACATTTAAGACTAGGCAAGAGCATATGTGCAAGATGAACCCAGAGTAGCACTACATAGCCTTAGAAGCTGAAAATATGTGTAAACACATGCCTACATGGCATTCAACAATGTCCAGAGTACGGAACACTGGAAAAAATTCAAGGTTTGTTCTTAAAAACAAAATAAAAATGATTGCAAGGAAAAAGATCATGAGGAACAAATCTGCAAATGAAAAGGCACGGGACATAGCAAAAATTATGAATATGTGGACCATATTTGCACATACATTTAAAGAAGCTATTTCAGAAAGCATAAGTTTATTGGAAACATTTTTAAGATAGTTGGATATTTAATGATCATTTATGCATCTTTAGAAATGATAACACGTTTGGGCTTGTTTTTCGAAGTCCTTAACTTTTAGAAATTTATGTTGAAATAAAAATAAAACCTGAAAAAAAGAAATTTATGTTGAAAAATTGAGAGGTGAAATACTGGGGTGCTTTTGATTTGCCCTGCATTTTTCCAGTGGCTGTGATGTAGGTAGGTGGGGAGACTTCATGAAATCAGATTTGTAGATGTATTTTACAAATACATACATAAAATACACATTCATTCTGCATATATAATATATGCATGTATGCACAAACACATCCCTGTGTGCCTATACGTAAGTATAGTCTACACTGACCCTTTGTACAGCATCTCTATCTATACATAGTCCATATATACATTTGGCAGAGTGGTAAAATAGCTTCTTGTTTCTAAATGAACACTGAAAAGTGGTAATTATCCTCTGGACTATGAAAAGTTCGGATCACTTCACAGAAGCAGGGCTTGTTCCAGGCCCCTGCTGTTGCTCACCCTTTTCCCACTTAACATCAAACTTTTAGAAGGGAAGTGGTGGACACTGGCCTCTGGCAGATGATGAGACCTCATAGGAAAGTGTGTTTGTCCTTAAGGAGGTCACTACAGATCTTGGTGTGACAGGACACACTCTGACAAGCAGGAATGGGGATTCTGGTTTTGTTCAGAACAAAGGTGAGGGCTCAGGAGGAGGATGGAGTTACCCTCAATTAGAGAATCCTGAAGGAGGATATCTGTGCCCCTGGTATCAAGTTGGTATGGTCAGGAGTGGAGCCTGGATGTGCAGTCCCCAACTGCCACAGGTGAGGCTCTGAGAAAGGTGAGAACCCTGGTCACACCAGCAGAAGTCTTGGACAGCAGAGCTGTAAGTACTACAGCAGCCAGTGCAGGATAGGGGTCCAGGGAAGCCCAGGCAGGTTGCAACTGCTTTTCTGTAGGTATTTTCTAATTTGTTAGGTTTTAGAACTATGTACATTCTTTTCAAAAGATTTATTTTTTCCCCATAATTTTATTGAGAGACAAATAACAATGAGACAGCTTCAAATCAAATTGGTAGGACAGTTTCAATAATTAACACATTGCGTACTCTCTTCCTAGTGGTTATTTGCTGTACAAGATGCAGACATGATATCCTATTTACAAACACTATTAGAACAAATCCCTCTATTCATTAAGATAATTTAACTATATATCTATCCTAACCACTTTGAATACACATTGTTGTATGATTTTAAAATATATTTTCTGTTGTGTAGTTTCTTTTTATTTCATGTACAGTATCTTATCAAAGCAAAAGATTGGTTAATTCCAATTTTTCATTCTTTTCCTTCACAAAAACTGCTTTCAGTGTAATTTATAAGAATTTTTCCTCTAACCACAAGGCACTATTTCTTTTTCATAATTCTTTAAGTGTGCTGATTTTTATTTAAGGCTTACATCTGTAATCTACTTCTAGGTAATTATTTTATAAAGTGCATGGTTTCTGTATAGGATTCTTTAAAAAAAGCTTATAGATGATCAACTGATACATAACCCTTATTGAAAAGATGAACAGTTTTCAAATAAACTATACACAATCCTTTGGAGAGCTGCCTTGGCCATATTCATATGGGCCTATTTATATTATTCTGATGAATGAATCTATAGGTATTTTCAGTAAATAATTCCATACTGTTTAGATTCTTGTAAGCATACAGCGTAATGTCATGTTGTTATGTTTTCTTCATGTTTATGCTAT